GCTGCTCCCTGCCCTGAGTGGTGTGTTTGTTGAGGAAGCATGTGCCCATGCTGACCTGAGGACAGGGATGTATGGAGCTCAGGGATGACAGACCTGTTCGCTGGCAGAGGCTGTGAGCTTGTATGGCACCTGGGTGATCCAGGGACCTGGAGTCCCAGGCCCTGAACAAGTTTGGCCCTTACTGGGAGCAGCACAACTGGCCAGGGTCTGTGCTAAGCACTTCCTACACACCAGCTGTTTGCATTGACTATTGAGTATCTGTGTGTGCACTGTGTGTGTGTGTGTGTGTGTGTGTGTGTGTGTGTGTGATGCAGGAAGGAGGAGGTACCTGAGCCCATGTGTTGCCCCCAGAGTCTTATGGAGCAAGCTGGCTTCTGGGGTCCTTCTCCTGAGTCCCATCTCTAGCCTTGTCTTTGGGCTTCTTAGTCCCTGGCTTAGATCCCAGCATGGAGAGGGGCATCCAATTACCTCTGCAATAGCCTAGTGTCTCAAGCAGAATCTCAGCATGTTCCTCAACCCCTCTTACTTTTGCCAGAAACAAGGATAATGATAGCCCCAGGTTATTTTTTTTATGAGCAGAATATATTTATTGAGAGAAAGAAAGCTCTTGTCCAAGAGAGGGACAGGAGGGGGGCCTGAGCGGGTAGTTCCCCAGGAAGCTGTCTCTTCCAGGGACTTTTATAGTGTAAAACCACGTGTGGCTAAGGTAGAGAGAATGGGAACTCACTTAGGTGTAGTCCCAGGTTATTCATTCAGCAAATATGTATAAAGCACCCACTGTGTGCCAGGCATAACCCAGGGCTTTGTGCACAGCTGTGAAAAGGAGAGATGTCTACCCTCACTGGACTCACATCCAAGTGTCAGAGATGGGTAGGAAGATCATGAACAGATGGAGAAAGAGTCTCAATTCTACCTGGTTTGCTGATGCTTTGTAGGGGAGGCGGTAGCACATGCTGGGCAGTCAGAGGGCCTCTCTGGGGAGGGAGCATCAGAGTTGAGTCTTGAATAGAAGAAGAGAGAGCCATTTAAAGATCTAGGAGAAGGACATTCTAGGCCAAGGGTACAGCTGGTGCAAAGGCCCTGAGGTGGAAATGAGCTCAGGGAGCACAAAGAAGGCCAGAGTGGCCGATGGGGGATGGTAAGAGGGTAGCGGAACCAGCTCAGGCAGGGCCTTTTTAGGCCATGCTGGGGAGACTGGATTGTAATCTAAGGGTAAAGGGAAGCATTGGAGGGTTATGAATGAGGGAGGCACGTGATGCAATTTGTGTTTTTACAGCTCACTCCAGCTGTCATTGGGAGAGTGGGGAGGGGGACAGGGCTGTTGAGAGCAGCTGAGACCCAGAATATGTGTGGCTTGGTGCCAGTCAAGATTCTACTACCATCACAATCCCTATACTGGCTAGTGCTGAAAAAGAGGCTGTTAAGCAAAAGGTCATTTCAAGGGCTGTGGTAGTGAAGCCCTTGCCTGGAGGAGGGCCTGGATTAGACTGAGAGAGGCTGCAGGGATCTTGGGCACTGCCAGCCTGTTATTTGCAGGCATCTCCTTGGGATGGATGCCCGGTGGCCCAGCTGCACCTCCTGGCCTTCCTCTTGCCAGCAGGGCTGGAGGCAGGCAGGGTCACTGCTTTGGGCCAACTCTCCTGGTTGAGGATTTGGGCCTTTAGTCTCATTAAGGGTATGGTAGGGGGCTTGGAAACTGGGGCTCTTCCCACACTTGTAGCCCATCTAGCTGGAGATGAAGGTTACTCTTAGTTCTAGAAGCAGCTACTCATTGTCTCAATGTGTGGTCTCAGGCAAAGCCTTTGCTAGGTTTGTGCTTCAGTCTCCCCCAACCCCAAGTGTGGTGATGAGTGAAGCCTGGCCTTTGCCTCTTGACTCTGAGGTAAGTTTGCTTTTCCTTGGATCTCAGCTCCCTTAGCATCCATTATCTTAAGTTCTCCCACCAGTCCCAGGGGGATGAGAGCAGCCGTGAGGCTTCCTTTCTGTAGATGGCTTCCTACAGGCCAAAAGAAGCAAGTCTAGCCCAGGACACATAGAGGTTCAGAGTGAGGACTTGGGGTATTGTTTTACATCCCTCCCCTGAGCTTCTCCTGTATGCACCCCTCCTAGGGCTCGGTGAGAGGGGGGATTCTAGCTTAGCTATTCTAGGCTCGACAGCTCTCAGCCCAGCAAGGGACTCTGGGCTCCCCACCCAGAGTAGAACTCAATGCTGCCCCTGTTTGCCCACCCAGAGACTAAGGACATGGTCCAGTGCCCAGTGTTGGCAGAGCCTTTATCCTACTGTCAGCTGCAGGACATAGTGAGGCAGGTGGGGCTGGAGGTAGTCTGAGGAAGCTCCTGGGAGTTGGAAGGGAGCACAGAGGCCTCCAAGGAGGCCCTTGATTTATTCATAGCCTGTCTTTGGGACTGGTAGAGATTGAGAAAATTTTGGGCTTCCCTGGGGGCTCAGGCTCAGCTTCTAGCCAGCGGCATGGAAAGCAGGCCAGAGGACTGGAACTCAGGCAGCAGGCCCCACAGCCCCACACTTTCCCTTCTAAATGCTCCCTGCTGCTCCCCCAGGAGTCTCAGTAGTGGAGGTGACCTCCTGTCTCCCACCTCTGGGTATACAACCGGAGGGAACAGATTGAAATAGCAACCACAGCAGCAGGGATGTAGGGCATTCAAGAAAGATTCTTCACTCCATGCTTTTTTCTTTTTTTAAGGAACTGGGGATTGAACTCAGGCCCTTGAGCTTGCTAGGCAAGCGCTTATTCTACTGAGCTATCTTGGCTGGTCCAATGGCAGTGGCTTATCAGAGCATATTAACATTAGTGTCACTACTGAGCTATCTCCCTGGCTCCCCACACTCCATGCTGAACCTAGGACATGGAGCCCTCATCTCCATGTCCTAGGTTCAGGGCTCAGTCTATAGCCTGGCTTTCAGTTTTTGTTTTTATTATTAAGCAAAGCCTTATTCTCAGTCTGTAGTTATAACTCTTTAAGTGAGGCTGGAAGTGGTTGCACACACTGCATCCTAGCACTTAGGAGGCTGAGGCAGGATTGCCTTGAGTTTGTCAGCCTGGCTATATATTGAGTTCAAGGCCAGTCTGAATTATGGAGTAGAACCTTGTTTCAAAACAAAAACACCCCCCCAGAAAAAACCCACCAAAACTCTAGGTGAGATTCAGCTTGAATGGGTGAGGTCCACAGATCAGTTTGCCCTTTTCCTTTCTACTCTGTTTGAAAATCCAGAATTAAATGGATTTTACCTGGTCTGTAGTAGCTGAGTTCTCCCTTAGGGACTCGGAAGCCCCCATAGAAGCAGACCTCCCTCCCTCTCTGGGTTCATCTTTTCAGGTAGGAAGTTCTGGGTGTCTCACACATGTTTTCCACAGTTGCCCAGTTCTAAGAGTAATGGATCACTGTATCTCCTCCAGGTAGGTAAAGCCTGGTACAGAGGTCTGGGCAAGGCAGGCTGTAGTTTAACAGGTGCTCAGGTGAGACTTACGAGCAGGCACACGCAGGCTGTGAGGGCTCCCATTCTCCTCACTGTGGTAGTAGCTTGTCTTTTTTTTGCAGAACCAGGGATCGAACTCAGGCCCTTTGCGCTTGCCAGGGAAGCGCTTATTCCACTGAGCCATCTCCCTGGCTCCTTGTAGTAGCTTGTCTTGATGCAGCCCTGAAAGTAGCCCATCCCTCTGCACTCTCAGCCTCTGCTGAGCTACCAGCAGTCCTTCAAAGGAGAGTAGGGGTGCTGGATAGCCAAGGCCCAAGAGGGGAAGGAGGAAGTGGCCCAGAGAAATGCCCCAGCTTCCTGCCTCTGTGCAGCTCTCTAGGGGATTGGAGAGGTTGGTCTGTTCCCTGAGCAGGAATCAGGTGGACGGGCTTGCTTAAGCTATTTGAGGTCAGAGCCAGAGAGAAAAGGACCAGGGAGTGAGATGCAGTCCACTACCCATGGCCTCTGCACTCCCTAGCTGGGATGCTGTTGCAAAAAAGCCCTGGGAAACATGAGTTAGTCCTGAGACATTGTTGATGGGGTGGTGGGTGGATATGGGAGGCAAACACCCTGCATAAATGGGGGTGGAGTGGGCTGGCCTGGGCAGTGTGGTGAGGTTGCCTCGTCTAGACCCACAGGAGGCCACACAGAAAGTTGGTAGAGCAGCACTGGATTCCCCTTGCAGTGCTCTCCCAGGAGACAAGACAGGACAAGCTCTGGTGGGGCCCAGGAGTGGAGGGAAGCCCAGGCCCTTTGTCCTTTCTCCTGACACAGCCAGGAAACTGGGTGCTGAAGAGGCAGCCTGGTTCTCCATGAGGCTCTCTGGTGGTGCTGCACCCGCCCAGCACCCTGGACAGCGCCACTTATCGGGCCTCCTATGGTTGATGGCTCTCCAGGTCTCGTTTTGGCTTGCTTCCCTGGGGCTGCCAATGCTGAATAAGCTGCAATTTTTTTTTTTTTTAAGCTGCACTTCTGACAACTTCTTTACCTCTTCTCTTCACATGCCTTTAAGGGCAGAGCTCAGCCCAGTTCCCTCCATTAACCACAGCGATCTCTGGCTCCTGGAGACGGCTCAGAGAACACACGGAGAGGCACCTGGGCTGGCTGTCAGTCAAGGCTTGGTCTCTATGGGCACTGCATAGGGTGTGCTGTTCTCGTCAGTTCCTCCCCACCTCAGCATGCCCAGTTTGGGGCCTACATGAAATGCGGTAGTAGGGAAGGAACCTAGGTCCTTGTGCTTTGGTGATCCGAGAAGGCACAATAGAGACACAAGAGATAACAGAGAAGCCAGGGGCTGGGTACAAGGGGCTGAGCAGGGATCAGGGGAGAGAGGAATGGGACTGACCTGGGTAGGAGGGGGAGGAGCAGGATCTGAACTCAGGCTCCAGACATGGGTCCTGAGGAGATCATCTTGGCTGCATTCCTGCCCTGTTAGGCTGCCTTGGTGCTGGTTCCAATGGGCTTTAGACACCCAGTCCCTGCCCTGTCTGACCTACTCTGACTTCATCTTTCCATCATCCATCAGGTGTACTGGAGTCCCAGGAGCAGTCAGGACAGGGTGGAAGCAGTCTCTGCCATGGATGAATATAAGCTCCCATCTGTACTCCCTAAGGAGATCAGTGCCTCCTGTGACCCCTGCCTGGAGCCTGAGAAGGAGCCTGGGGCCCAGAATGGAATGACGGCTAGTGAGGGTCTGAGCAGCTCCCTCAGCAGCCCAGTGCATGAGAAAAGAGATGCCCTGTTGGACACTGAGGAGCCCACAGGGGACCCAGGTGAGGCCCTCCTTGGCCTCAGCCCAGGCCTTTCCCTCACCAATGGCCTAACCCTGGGACCAGAAATGAACATTCTAGAAGATTCAACAGAGTCCAGTCCCTGGAGGGCTGGTGGGCTGGCCGAAGGGAATGATGTCTCCAGCAGCCTCTGTCCAGACACTGAGGACCCTCAACTGGGGTAAGTGGGCATTTTGGGATAAGGATTCACTATATTTGACAGGCCCTTTTATCTGTCTCACAATAAGATGGGGATTTAATGAAATTAAATAATTAAATAATTAATTTAATTTTATGTATTTGGCATAGGGTCTCACTATGCAGCTCGAACTTGTAGTGATCCTCCTGTCTCAGCCTCCCTCCACCCCAGTGCTGGGATTATAGGTGTACACCACCACATAGGTCTTGGTGGCCAGTTCAGCAGGCCCACAGTGGTGCTTACATGGAATGCAATAATGGGGATGGAACCTGAGTCCTTGTGCTTGCCTAGGCAGGTGCTTAGACTGCTCAGCTATCTCCATGGCCCAAGATGGGGATTTTATATTCTTGTTTTGTCTAACTTCTGGGTGTTTTGGGGTAACAGATCCAGGAAAAGAATTAAAAGAGCAGGTTGTGTCCCTGAATTGCACAGTTGTGGGTGCACTTGTGGTCTCTTATGTGGGTGCGTAAAGTGAAGCAGCTCTAGGTCTCCAAGTGGAGAGGTGAACAGGTGGGCTTTTGAGCCTTTGTGCTTCATGGCTGTACTTTTCCATCTAGGTAGGCCTAGGGCAGCTGCCAGTAGCTAGCAGAGAGGAAGGGCAGAGGGCTGAAGCTTCTGAAACTGCTCTTTGTACTCAGGTAGCTTTTTGATCTGGAATGGGTAAAGGTAGAGACAGAGAGAGGTTTAGAAATTGGGCAAATGGTTTTCCACTCTTGTCAGAGCTACTCCTCAGGTCTGCTTAGTTGCAGGGAAGTGGGAGGTAGTGGCATGCTTGTGGCTCTGACAGTGGGCTAAGGGTCCCCCAAGGGCATGGTGCCATCTTATTTGAATGTCTCTAATACTCAGCCCAGGCCTGGCAGAGGTGTCTTTACCAGGCAGACTTTGCCTTGTGAAGCTCTGGTTTGGGAAGCTAGGAGCTGGGGAGCATGCAGTAAAGAGGGGAACAAACAGAATATTTCATGCTGATAAGGGCTGGGGAGGACTCGAGGAGACACCCTGAAGAGAGAGAATGGAGAGGAGGGGCCAGCACCATGTGGGGCTGTGACATGAAAGCAGGCCTCAGAGCTGTGTGGTTGTTGTAGCTAAGAACCTCCAGGCTGTGGAGACAGCAAAGTTCTGAGCAAGTGTGGCAGTAGTTGTGACAGTGCTTTGGGGCCAGGCCAGACTAGGAGAAGAGACCTCACAGTCACTCACTGAGACAAATAGCTGATGCCTACAGAGAGCAAGGGCTTGGGTTGGGCACCAAGGGGCAGGGACCACATCTATCCTTTGTTCTGTGGTGTCCCCAGCCCCTAGCCCAGCCTGTGGTCTCTTGCACTCAGTTTATGTTGGCTGAAAGAACAAAGCAGCAGGAAGCTGCTGTCTGCTCCTGGCTTATGGGCCTTCAGGCGCAGAGTGCTGCCATGGTCAGCCCCTGCGCATGAGGACACCTGAGCGGCATGGTGACTGGTCCTTGCTTCCACAGGCTTGATGGCTCCGGGGAGCCAGATGTGCGAGATGGCTTCAGTGCCACATTTGAGAAGATCCTGGAGTCAGAGCTGCTGCGGGGCACCCAGTACAGCAGCCTCGACTCCCTGGATGTGCTGAGCCTCACTGATGAGAGTGACAGTTGTGTCAGTTTCGAAGCCCCACTCACACCGCTCATCCAGCAGCGGGCCCGGGAGAGCCCTGAGCTAGGGGCTGGGCTGGGGATTGGGGATATGGGGCCTGAAGTGGACCTGGGGGCAGCTGGAGGGGCTGGGGGGCTGGGCAGCCCCCTACGGCGCTCCATCTCTAGCAGCCGCTCCGAGAACGTCCTGAGCCGCCTGTCTCTCACAACGGTTCCCAACGGCTTCCATGAGGATGGGCCTCAGGGGTCAGGCAGGGATGAAGATGATGAGGAGGACACGGAGAAGCTGCTGAGCTCAGCCAGGTGAGGTGGGGCCTGGACTGGGATCTGGGGGAACCACTGAGTAGATGCAGAAACTAAGGCCCAGAGGAGGCAACACATGTGTCCAAAGTGTTCATTGTCCAAAGTCAACAAGCCCTCTCCAAGGTCACCTTGTTCCACAGCTGCCTCCAGATTTCCCAACCTGGATCCTGAGGTCCCATTCTGTTCTTTATATTTTCTCAGCATAGATGGGCTCAGGGAGACATGTTGTGGGCAGGATTTCACTTGAGGGGCTCCCACAAGAGATTGAACTGAGGTCCCCCTGATTCAGTGGAGCTTCTTGGACTTTTCTGGACCCCAAGTATGTGTTCAGAGACCCTTGGGCCTCATTCAGGGTGTCTCATCCCCCTCCTGCAGTGACCCTAGCCTGAAGGATGGCCTGTCGGACTCAGACTCAGAGCTGAGCAGCTCAGAGGGGCTGGAGCCTGGTGGAACAGACTCGCTGGCCAATGGATGCCAGGGGGTGAGTGAAGCTGCTCGCCGGCTGGCCCGCCGCCTCTACCACCTCGAAGGCTTCCAGCGCTGTGACGTGGCCCGACAGCTGGGCAAGAAGTGAGTGGCCTCCTGCACCTCCGCCCCAGGCAAACCACTGTCTTTGTTAACCTGAAGGGGGGCTGGCTTTTTTCAGGAGTATCTGGTACTGGGGGCTCTCAATGGTCCTTCAGGGACACCTCCTCCTGCTACTGTCCTCATTCCTGGCCTCGCCCTAAATCTGTTTCCTTTTTGGGCTGCTTGGATGAAGGATGTTGCTCTCAGGGAGGGGTGGAGGCTGAGGGGCAGAGTGTAGGATGTGATTATGCAGTCATGGTAGATGGCAGTGAGGGCACCAGGTGGGGAGCTAGTGGCCTGCCTACCAGATGGGGTCAGGGAGAGAAGAGCTTGTGTGTGGTGTGAAAAATGGCTGGGACCGTAGCTCAGGAAGGAGCTCCTGGCACTTATTAAACCTGACTGTCCATTGGGACCAGCAGAGGTTCTGGGACCCTCCCAGAGCACAGGCCCTAGTTTTCAGGTGGGTAGAAGAGGAAGTGATAAGATGGATTCAGAGCACAGCTTGGAGGAAGGTTGGGCACATCTTGAGCATGTCTAACCACCAGCATGGCCCCTGCCTTTGGCTCCTGTGTCAGAGGCTGTCACTGAAGGAAGACTTTGAGGTGGGCAGAAGCAGGCCTGACCTCTGAGTGCCACTTACAAGGCTTAAGGGAGCCAGAGCTGACATGGGAGTCTGCCAGTGGTTCAATTCCTGGATCCTATTCTTCTCCATCCTGCCTCCTCATCCTCTGTAGCCTCCACATCACTCTCATCCTGGTCCCCCAAAGGTCCAGCAAGGAAATCACAGATGCCCTTACCTCTCTGCTGGCTTGGAAGCCACCCCAACCTAATGATAGCCTCTTAGGAGCCTTATGTGGCTGAACCCTTTCATCTTCCCAGCCTCTTCCTCTACAACTGTCTCCCCATCAGTGGTCAGCTATGCTCCTCCCTCCCATCTGAAAGTCAAGAATCCCTACCCATCTCCTCATCTAAGCCTTAAGTGACTGAATTACTCAGGAGGGGCTTGGATTTATGATTCTCTTGCCTCAACCTCCCAGAGTGCTGGAATTACAGTAGTGTGCCGGTATGCCCACCATGCTGAGATATTTTAAAGCACAGACACTATGTCATTTGACTCATAAGTACTTTCATGTATATCTCTAATGAGTTTGTTTATATAATTTTTTTTTTTTTTTTGTGGAACCGGGGATTGAACTCAGGTCCTTGTGCTTGCCAGGTCCTTGTGAGTGGGTGGGAGAGCTTGAGGCTTGATTAGAATTAGGTAGAAATGTGTTTTGATTTTTGGCTAGTATTTTTCATTTTAGCCTTCTTTTGAAACATTCCTCCTTGGCCTCCATGATGGCCTCAGAGCTCTGCCTCACCTGGCTGGCCAACTAGGTACATTTTCTCACATGGGCTCAGCTCCTGCTGCACCAAGGTGTTACTGACCACTGGGGAGGAATGCCTCGCACAGGGGTGCATCCACCTTTGTCCTTGTCCTGAGCACCGGACAGGACAAGCGCTCCACCTCTTCCATCTTGTCCCCACCTGATCCATCTCCCTTTCTAGCAGATTCTGCTTTCTTTTTAAAAAATTTTGTGTGTGTGTGTGTGTGTGTGTGTGTGTGTGTGTGTGGCCAGCTCAGCCCACCAGGGGGTGGGGCTGGCTGGCATGTGGTGCTGGGGGATTGAACCGCAGTCCCTGTGCTTTGCTAAGCTTGTTCTAAGTAGGTGCTTTAGACCACTGAGCCATCTCACCAGCCCCAGATTGTGCTTTCTAAAACATGTGCTCACCTCTTTCCTGATCAACTCCTGCTCTCTCCCTGTGGGTCTCCACTCAGCAGATACTGTCTACCGTACAGAGGTGATCATCTGATCAAACCCTGTAGAATCAGGTCACCATCCTTCCTTTGACCTGGAGGCTATTTCCTGCCTATCTCTTGCTGACCACACTCCTGCTTTCCAGGCCCCGACCACATGGTGTGCTGGTGGCTTTTTGGACATGTGATGTAGTTGGTGTCATTCCATCTTTTCCTCCTTCACCTGACTGGTTGTCACTTTTTTTGTTGGCTGAGACACTACCTTCTCCAAGAAGCCCTCCCGATCCTTCAGCCTCAGGTTGAGCAGTCTGAGCCTAAATGGCCATCAGGGGAGCCAGAGTAGGGAATGGCAGATGGAAGGGGCCAGGGAAAACAGGGCCCTCCCCGAGCTCCCCTTTTGTTCTGCCAGACTTAGGTTAGACCCTGCTTCTAATTATCATTCCATATTTTCCTGGCAGCAACGAGTTCAGCAGGCTGGTGGCTGGTGAATACCTCAGTTTCTTTGACTTCTCTGGCCTCACTCTGGACCGAGCACTCAGGTTAGTGGGTCTGGGCTGGGACAGTATCCACGGACGGCATGGGCAGCAAACCTGTAGTCTTATCTGAGCTGTATCATAGACTTGCTGTGCAACCTTGGGCACGTCTCTTGACCCCTGTAGCAAGACCATAGGAAGAGACCAAAAGCAGCAGTTGCCTTTATAGACCGGCTTGCATCATCCTCAGAGCAGCCCTGTGAGGTGGGCGCAATCCTTTCTACTTCTCAAACAAAGAGACTTTCCCATTGTCACTGGATGTGAGATGACTTGGTGGAAGGGTAGTTGATCTCAGCTCTAACTGGGGTCTGGACCAGGGAGGTGACTGAGTAAGTGTGGGCCCTGGGGAACAAGAGGCAGTAGATGAAGCTCAGTGCCAGCAGGCTCTGATGGCAGGGACTAGCTGAGGGGATGTCAGGCACAAGGAGGACAGACAGGCCCTTTGTCTCTGAGCTATGGCTGTGTGGTCCATACGTGTGAGGTCCTTTCTCTGTGTCCCGTGTGTTTTTTGTACTTTTTTTTTTCTTTTGTTCTTTTGAGACAAGGTCTTGCTATGCAGCTCAGGCTGGGCTTGAGCTTAATTTGTATCCCAGGCTGGTCTTGAACTTGCATCGATCCTCATGCCTCAGCCTCCAGAGTTCTGGGATTACAGTCTTGCACTTTTTTGAGGCAGGATATCAATATGTAGTTAATCCTGGGCTTAAACTCACTATATAGCCCATGCTGGCCTCAAACTTAGGGTCTTCTGCCTCACCCTGCTGGGATTATAGGCATGTGCCACCATGCTCAGCATCTCTTATGTTTTTTTTTAAAAATGTAATTTCTATTCTTTTTCCTCTGCTGTAGTTGGGATGTTTTCTATCAACCTGCTTCACTTTGCTCATCCTTTTTGTCTGTGTCTGGTACACCATTAAGCCCATTTAGCAAGTTTTAATTTTCTGTTATCACATTTTTCAATTCCAGAATTTCTATCTTTTTTTGTTTTCATAGTATTTTAGGGAAAGGTCTGCAGGGTGTTCAGGGTCTCACTACTAGATCAGACTCGTAGTGATCTGCCTGTTTACAGCCTCCCAAGAGCTGGGATTTTAGGCACGCGCCACCATGCCCAGTCTCAATTGCCATCTCAGCGTGTCCCAGGGTCAGGGCCAGCACAGCAGGCCTGGGGGATCAAACCTCCGGCTCCTGTGCCTGCTTGCAAGCATTTTAATCTGCTGAGCTCTTTGACTGACCCCCAGAATTTCCATCTTATTTAAACTTTAAAAATAGATTCTAGGTTAAGGCAGTGATGCATGCCTGTAATCCCAGTTACTTGTATTTGTATGTGTGCTGGGAATTGAACTCAGGATCTTGTGCTTGCCAGGGAGGCACTTGTGCCACTGAGCTATTTCCCTGCCCAATCCCAGTTACCTGGGAGGCTGAGGCAGGAGGATTGCAAGCTTGATGTCAGCCTGGGCAACTGGGGGAGATCTTATCTCAAGCAAATAAAAAAAAGCTGGGGAAGTAGCTCAGTGGTGGAACCTTTTCCTAGTCTGCAGCTGGCCTTGGGTTCAATCCTTAGTACTGAAAAAAAAATTATTCTCTGGGTAATTCTCCATTTTTCACTCTTTTCTCCATCTTTACCTCTGTTCTTGAACATATTAAAGCCCCCGCTTGCTGTCCCTGATGTTGGCATCATCTGAATCATGTGTGCCTGTTTCTGTTGCTTGTTTTCTCTTGGTTTCCCATCATTTATTCTCTCTTTGTATGTTGAGTAAATTTTTTTTTTTTTTTAAATTTGATGCTACATGCTCTGTGCAGAGCTCTAGTGGCTCTAGACTGTTCTGTGTTCCTCCTGTGTACCCTGTCCTTTGCTGGCACTTAGAAGGCAGCCTGGGGACATGGTCCTATTCCAAGCACAGCTGGCTCAGGAGACAAAGCACTGCAGCTTGGTGAGGCTCAGGGTTTGCCCTGATCTTGGAAAAACCTCAAAACTTTCCACAAGGAGCCTAGTGTGGTCACTGGCCCTTGGCCCTTGGTGGATTCTGAATCCTCATTTTGTCTCCTCAGTGTAGCAAGATTGCCAAAAAAAAGGCCAACAAAAACAAACAACAAAAGAAAACAAGAAAACCAAGAACAAAACCCCGTACTTCCAAGAGGCTTTCCTTTTAGTTCCTTTTTTTTTTTTTTTTTTTCTTTTCCTGAGACTGGGTCTCACTGTGCAGTTGAGACTTGCTTTGAACTCACTATGTAGCACATACTGGCCTTGAACTCATGGCGATCCTCCTGCCTCAGTCTCTGAGTGGTGGGGTTGCAGGTGTATGTCACCATGCCCAGCTCCTTTTAATTTTTTAGCTTCCTTTCCTTCCCTTTTTGGAACCTGGCATGTACCTGGCTGTGTGCTTACTGCCCCTTTGGTCTCCAAGTTTGTCTCTCCAGGCCCTAAAAGTCTCCCAGTGCCTTGCCCCTTGCCTGGGCTCTTAGCAATGTCCTCAGGTAAAAGCAGCCACAGCAGATGAGCCCCAGTCCTTTTGTCTCCAGGATCTTGGCCCTTGTGATCTTTGTTGCCTCTTCAGTTTCCTGACAGCTTAAGAAAATGCACTGACAGCTACTTTGTCCCCAAGAATCTCAAGACCTCATGGTAGAGATTGTGGGAATGTGTCTGGGGTGCCAGCTTATGGGCCAAACCTTGGGTGCTGGACTGGAGGCCTCATGCACTTGCAATAGGGGGCCCAGCTGTGCAGGCTGTGGGGAGCAGCAGGTGGGGATGGGGTACAGTGGTACAGGTAACAGTGTACAGGCTTTTGAGGAGAGACAGGCAAGAGAGGACATGGACAGAGGGTGGGTGGCGGGCAGGTGGGGAAAGGTGATGGGAGAGGTTGGCAAGAACATGGAGTAGAAGAGCTGTAGGGGCTGAGGTAGGGAGAAGGTGGGCCATGTTGGGACCAAATCTGGGGGGACAGCCTGAGTTTAGGGTGGCAAGGCTGTGCTGGGGCTTGGTGAAAAACCCTGGGGGAAAACAGAGTGTGGGCTGGGGCTTCTACTCTGAGTACTGAGCCAAACTGAGTCAGCAACTGGAAGGCCCTCAGGTACCTTGAATTGCCTTCTAGAACCTTCCTGAAGGCCTTTCCTTTGATGGGGGAGACACAGGAGCGAGAGCGGGTCCTTACGCACTTCTCCCGCCGGTACTGCCAGTGCAACCCTGATGACAGCACCTCAGAAGGTATGGATGGCCTTGCCTGCTGCACCCTCATTCCCACTGTCCCCCCCCAGGCCCTGGCTTCTCTCACTCCTGTGGCATACAGGATATGCTAAACTACATCAGGTGAACAATGATGGCTTACGCAATGGGGCTGCCTGCCGGGGCAAGAGAGCTCCAGAGGTCTTGCCCGTTGTCTTTCCCAGTGCCTCATAGTCCTCAGTCTTAGAGAGTCAGTCTTCTGGGTCTTCACACACTCTAGTGCCCTGTCACCATGCTGATACTTGGTGGGGTGGAACTCATGGTTGGGATTTGCCTGGTAGGTGGACATTCCAGAAATTCCAGAGACGTAGGCCAAAGCAGAGACGCCATCACTAGGCCTGAGGTTCAAGACGAATCTGGCCACAGGGGCAGGGGTCTGTGCTAGAGCAGTCCAGGGTGCCAGGTTCCTCCTGGGGGAAGATGGCCCTGACCTGGGTGGGCAAGTGACTGGCACTCTGGTGGGAATATCATGTAGGTCATAGCCCTGAAGGCAAATGGCTGGCTGCTTCCTGTACCCTAGGCCTCCAGGCTGGCACTGTGAGGAGACAGGTGGGAAGCTAGGGTGGGATGTTCACACTGCCATTTCCAATTTAGATGGGATCCACACGCTCACCTGTGCCCTGATGCTGCTCAACACGGACCTGCATGGACATGTGAGTTGGGAGATGGGAGGTGGCAGGTGGAGTTGCCCTTCAGGGTGACCCTTTCCCCAACTCCCTTCCTGAGATCTCTTGTTCAGTGACTGTGTTTCTTTTAGCAGACCTGGGAGTTGGGCAACTTGGTTACTAGAGTTAGTCCTGTTCTTGTACAGTTTGATCTGCCTGGGGTTTGCCAGGGTTCTAGCTCCTACACATCAGCGAGAATGGTTGGGGCACATGGGAGTTCAGGATGTGCTAGGTAAGCTGTGTGCCTGTAGGCTGGTCCATGCCACTCACTGCTAAAACCCTGAGCCAGGGTGTGGCCGCCTGTCCTGGCAAGCCAGGTTTGCTAATCAAACAGTAGGCTACATTGGATACACCTTCTGGGCACTTCCTTTACCCTTGTCAGGACCAGGAGTGGCCTGACAGCTGGGGATGCCACTGGAGGCTAGATGTGGTCCATGAGACTGCCTCTGTGCTTCTTCTCAAGGCTCTCTAACTAACTCCTCCTTCTCTCCTCTGCTGCGGGGACCCTCTCTGGGCTCTCCTGCCCTCCCTCAGGTGGTAAGTGTAGCTAGTGGTGTGCATGCCCTGTGTGACCCCATCTCCATGCCACCCTTCTGTGTCCCCCATCACACCATTTGGCTTCACCCAAGCACTGCTGGGCCATTGTCCCCAAGGGGAGGGATATTTTTGAGACTTGGGGACAATAGGTCAGTGTGTCTGATTGCAGAGTTAACCAGAGAAGTCTAGGTGTTAGGTGGAAGGAAGAGCTGGCAAGACTTCGCATCCTACTCTTGCCTTCATTGCTGTGTGACTCTGGGCAGGTCACTGACCCTCGCTGAGTGTCAGGTTCTGCATCTGTTAGTGGGGAGAATAATGATTTTTCCTAAAGTTCTTGTGGAGGATGAAGAGCAGTAATCAACACATCAAGTGTCAGGGCCCAGCTCCTAGTAAGGAATTTATTATAAACAGTACTTATACAAAAGAATAACAGCAGTATTCAGGAGGCATATTAAAACTTAAATGACAGCAAGCCTATGGGCTCAGGCTGCAGGCCCTTGCAAGGCCAGGTCTGTGGGACAGACTCCAGTGGCAGCTGCAGCATGCATAGAGGAGGGGAGGAGCAGCTGGAGCCAGGCTGTTGGGCACATGGGGCACTGGGCCTGGGAGAGCTGAAGCCTGGGTACCCTCTTTAGGAAGAGCAAACATGATGTTGGGGAATTCAGCTTGGGACATTGCCTGAGTGGAGAACAGGAGAGAAGCTGTGTGTATTACGAGGTCTACAAATCTGCCAGTGTTCCTAAGACTGCTCCCTGTTGCTTATAGGAGTCACTGGCTACCTTAAAGAGGCCCTGAACAAGCCCCTCCTCTCCTGTCCCCACCCAGCCTGCCTGAGGGCAATCTCAGGGCTGCAGCCCTGCTGGGTCCAGCTTTGTATGCCCATCTCTACTGCTAAACACTTCTGGTGAAGGCAGCAGCCCCTGTTCTGTGGTCACCAGGTACAATAGCTTCGCCTATGGCCTTAGCTACCTGTGACCTGCATTAATGTTGTTGGTGAGGAGAAATTGCTTTGTAGGTCAGGAATTTAAGACCTTTTTTTTACTTGATACAAACAGTTACTGAGGATCTGTACCCCCCCTCTGTTTCTCTGTCTGTCTGTCTGTCTGTCTGTCTGTCTGTCTGTCTGTCTGTCTGTCTCTGTCTGTCTCTGTCTGTCTGTCTGTCTCTGTCTGTCTCTGTCTGTCTCTGTCTCTGTCTCTGTCTCTCTCTCTCTCTCTCTCTCTCTCTCTCTCTCTCTCTCTCTCTCTCCAAACCCAGGACCTTACTCATGCTGGACAAATGCTGTACTGTTGAGCTACATCCCTAGTTCTTTTAACAATTTTATTGTTGCCCAGGCTGGCGTGGGACATTTTTTTTTTTTTTTTCCAGTACTAGGGGTTGAACTCAGGAACCTGCACTTACCAGGCAGGCACTTATTCTACTGAGCTATCTCCCTGGCCCTTGCATGGAACTTTTGATGCCTCTGTTTCAGCCTCCTGAAGAGCTGGGGTTATAGGTAGACAAGTGGGCACCACCTCATGTATCTTCCTATCTCCCTTGAGACAGCATTGCCCAATGACTGGGAACAAGGATTCTGGGTCAGGGCTCTCTACATTTCTCCATGTGGCCTGGAGCAAGCTACTTACCTTGCTGAGTCATGGTTTGCCCATTGTTTGTGTAGTTCTTGTGAGGCTGTATGGAGATGACACAGGAGGAGTGCCTCACCCAAGGCATGGTAGTCACAATCCTGTGAGTTCCTCCAAGGATCCCATGCTGTGTTCTCTTCCCCTTTCTCCTTCCTTCTCTGCCCCTTGTTAGACAGGGACTGAGTGCCTGGTGGAATGTGAGGATCTTAAGAACACACAGGCTGGTACCTGTGGAAAAGCTTCTGCTCAGGGGGACAGGATGGGCATAGCCAGGGTGAGGATGTGTGTGGATTCTTTCTGTTGAACAACTTTTGTGTTTCATGAAAAGACAGAAGGATCCTTGGCTCTGGAAGCCTACTTGCTAGTTAGAGGGCATGGTAACACACAGGGAACAAATGGTTATGAGAAAGGGTGGATACTGAAGGGAATAATTGGGTCAGGGAAGGCCTCTGGGTAGGGCAGAGACCTGGAGGGTCAACAAACGCTAGTCACAGAAAGATCGGGTCAGAGTGCTAGGCAAAAGGTACTCAGATATAGGGCAACTATGAATGAATGTTTGTGAACAAGTTTGTGTTAGAACACATGCTTTCAGTTCTTTGATTCTACACCTAGGAATGGACTTGCTGCATTATACATATCATCATTTTGTGTTTAACAGTTTGAAGATCCACAAAACTATTTCTATAGTTAGTGTGGGGGAAGGTGAGTGCTACGTGATGGTGGCTTGGACAGGCAGGGTGGTGGACATGGAGAGAAGGGACTGCAGAGGGAGGCCTCTGAAGGTCTGTCTCATAAAACTTGCTCATGGGATTGGTCAGTGAAAGAGGAATAATAATGACAGTTTACAGGTCAGATTTCCTGTTAGTAGATAGAATACCTGACACCAGCAACTTATATGACACCCATGAATTAATGGAATAGATGCTTACTGAGTACATAGCTTGAGAGGATTCAGTCCATGGTAGAGCTCTCTAAAGCAGAAGCTTCATGGTGGAAAGGCTTGGCAGAGGAATATTCCCATCTTATGGCAGAGACAGAGCAGAGGACTGTGACAGAAAGGAAGGGGCCAGGACAGACATAGTAGCCAATGCCATGCCTCCATGGCATGCCCAGACATTCCCTGAAGTGTGCTCTACTAATCCCCTAGTTTGGTCTGGAGTCAATCAAGTTGAAAATCCAGATTTACTACTGCAGAGAGCATCAGCATCTGGCTATCTTGGGTACTGTTTCCAGAGATGGGGTTAAACATTTATGTTGAAGGGTGAGTGGGAGAGGGGTGGAACTTGAGTCCCATTTCTAACATATGTTGGTGATGTCTGTTAAACATCAACATGGGGACATTGAGGGACAGTGGAATCAAAGAGTCTGGGGCCCAGTGGAGGTCTGGGGCTGAAGAGATGGGGAGGTGGTTACCGACTCTTGATGAGACTTAAAGCTATGGGTCTGGCCAAGTGCCCTGGCGAGAGAGGGAGGCTGATAGTTAAGTGTCAGGGCCAACAATATTCAGAGGAAACTTGGGACCAGGAGAGACTGTGAGACAGCTAAAGAAAGAGATAAGAGAAAAATCAGAGGAGTGTGCTGTCTCAGAAACCAGGAGAAGAAAGAGTCAGAGAGAAGGGAAAGAACTGAGGAGGAAAATGTACTGTCTAATATGGGCAGCTTGAAGCTTAAGGGAGAGAAAAAGTGCTCATGGCTGTGTTGGAGATAAGGGAGCAGACACACTGGCAAGGTGTAGTGGTATCGTCAACACGTCTTCACTCCCATTTGGTTGTGGTTGTGAATATAAAAAGGAGCCAGTTAGCATGACTTGGGATTCTTCTTCAAGATTATTCATTTGGTTGGACTTAGACCCAAGTATGGTGTAGGAAACTAGTTGCATTTTACCTTGGCTAGGTCTTTCCTAATCAAATCTAACAAAAGCAGAAAGGAGCAAGGAAACATTTGTAGGAAAGTGATTAATGATTGGGCCTGGAATCTAAATGAGATTAAAAAAAGGCAGTAAGTACATCTGGATTTTAATAGAGGGTCAAAGGGTTGTTGGAATGAGGATTCTAGAGATGGATGAAATGGAAGGAAGGTCAGGGATGGAAGGAAGCCTTTGGGCCCTCTTGACCCAAATGGAAGTGGGGAGAAGGGAGGAACTAGGAACTCACAGCTCCCAAATCACATACTTTTCTTGAGTTTTGGAATGATTGGGATGCATCTTCCCTGCCCCCGTTTGCATCTTTTTGTTTGGATGATGATAATATTTTAAAGCAGAAAACTTAGCCAGTATAATTTTACTCCTTTGTAGTTTGTTAAGTGTGGTGTTTTGATGTAGAGAGAGATCAATTTTTTTTAGAATGTATTTGATATAGGGTCTCAGTACGCAGCTCAGATGGTAGTGATCCTCCTGTTTTTAGCCTTCCCAGTGCGGGGATTACAGGTGTATGCCGTCACTCCTAGTCTCAGTGGCTGGCTCAGCATTCCTGGGGTGGGGCTTGTACCTGTGGTCCCAGGGATCGAACTCTGGTCCTTGCACTTTCCTAAGCAGGTGCTTAGTCTGCTGAGTTTTCTTGCTGGCCTGAGAGATTAATTTTAATAAATGGGTCATGTGAACTTTATTTATTTATTTATTTATTTTTATGTATTTGGCACAGGGTCTACAGGGTCTACAGGATCTACAGGGTCTACTACAGGGTCTACAGGGTCTACAGGGTCTACTACAGGGTCTACTGCAGGGCCTACAGGGTCTACAGGGTCTATAGGGTCGCACTGCGTATATTGGACTGGTAATGATTCTCCTGTTTTCAGCCTCCCCAGCGCTGGGATTACAGGTGTGCGCCA